CCAGTGTTGAGATTTTTGAGTCACACAGACCTTTTTTCACCTTTTAAGAATGATTTTTAAACTACTACATGAGAAGTACTAGGCAAATTACTTTCCTGTCAACTTCAAACCAGACCCATCTTTCAAAGATTAGAAGGCATTTTAACCACCTAACACAACCCCACTCATCCAATAAAATTAGGAAATTCAAGTCAAAGAAATCAAGCAAAGGGCAAGCCACAAGTGTGCTGCTCACACAGCAACATCAGACACACCCAGGGGTCCTTTACCTCCCATTCACATCAATACAAAGCAGTGCCCCAGAGAGAAGTCTTTCGAATGTACCAAAGATGAATTATGATAAGTTACACCTATACGTCCTGCTAAATTATTTTTTTTAGGTTCTTAAGGAAATCTATAAAAAAAAGAAAATCTCCCTTTACTTGCCTTCCATAAAGATGAAGAAAATGATTTTAGAGTAAACTAAATTCATCTTTTTCCCCCTTCTGCAAAAGAAAGCACATGAATTTCACTTCTGGTGGCACTCTGCTTTGTAGCATTATTGATGCTGCTTAAACTGAAACACCTTTAATAGTATATTCTCTGGGAAACTAGTTTGCCTGTACTGAAATGCACGGCAAAGAAGTCATACTACAGTAGAAATACACCCTCAAGGTGATTTTTTTTTTTTTGAAAAAATTTTTTTTATTTATTTATGATAGTCACAGAGAGAGAGAGAGAGAGAGAGAGAGAGAGAGAGAGGCAGAGACACAGGCAGAGGGAGAAGCAGGCTCCAAGCACCGGGAGCCCGATGTGGGACTTGATCCCGGGTCTCCAGGATCGCGCCCTGGGCCAAAGGCAGGCGCCAAACCACTGCGCCACCCAGGGATCCCTCAAGGTGATGTTTTACAAGTCATTTCAAGTCACCTGCCCCAAATATTTTTAACCAACTATCTGTGAGTAAAAAAACAACATACAGCTCTGTATCAAAGTAATTAAGAAAAAAATGAAAAAAGAAAGGCTTCTTGGCTATGGAAAGAATAAGGAATGAAGTGATTCATTTGGGAATTAGCAATAGGATCTTACAACTCCAACTCAAAAGTTTCAGTCTCATCCAAGTTAAATTTCCAATTACTTCTCTATTCCATAACTATTAAGCAAGTGGAAAGGAAGGTGGTAAGAAAGAGATCTAATCCAGGTCATGGATCTGTGCCAAAGTTCTCCAAGAACTTATCTTTATCAAGGTCACTGTCAGTTAAAGGTGATCTCAAGCTAAACACACAATACTCTAATAAAACATCCTGCTGCAGAAGAAAAAATTATTTGCTAAAAGATATCTATAAAATGCACGTTCACTTCAAAACCTAACACAAAAATACGTTATGGTCCAATAAAGAGATCTTAAAGAGTTTACTTTTTATTTTTTTTAATTAATTTATTTATTTATGATAGTCACAGAGAGAGAAAGAGAGAGAGGCAGAGACATAGGCAGAGGGAGAAGCAGGCTCCATGCACCGGGAGCCCGACGTGGGACTCGATCCCGGGTCTCCAGGATCGCGCCCTGGGCCAAAGGCAGGTGCCAAACCGCTGCGCCACCCAGGGATCCCGAGTTTACTTTTTAAAAAGAAGTCTATAAGCACTAACAAAATGACCCCCTATGATATCCTAAGATAAGGATTTTTCAATTTATCAAGGCATGGGCACGATCATCCGGTAGCTTCTCAGGAGAGGTCTGGCCGGATTGGGCAGGAAAGCAAGGTGACCGGGCCCTTGGAAGAGCCCTACTTTATGAGTTTATACCCCTGACCCTCTCCTGAGTGACTGGCTCATATACTCGGGAAATAAAGCAATAAAATGCAAACAGTAAATAAGTAAATATATATATATAATATATATATAAAATATATACAAACATAAAAATATATAAAATATATATAATATATAAAATACATATGTATATACACATTTATTATATATATATTTTTTATTATATAATAAAATTATATGTTTTATTGTATATATATTTATATATATATATATTCGTGCATACACACATAGCAGTTTTAAAGTAGCTGTTGAACCAACAAGCAGACCTAATGAAGACATAGCAGGGCCCAGTGACCAGGGGACAAGGCACAGCAGCACCACTCCAGAGGTGAGGTGAGACCGGCCTATCCCATGAGGCTGTGCGCCTCCCAGGCACCTGGGTCTGCTTGCTGTTGCATTAACTGGAATAAAGTCACATCTGGAAAACCCTAAGATCCCCACTCTCCCTCCAAATGCCAAAAAAAGCCCCCAGAATCTAAAGTAACAGACTCTGAACAGATTTGACAGCAGCTTCAGCCTCATGTAAGTGGAATCCGAAAAACACATGATGCCATCAGAACTGGAAAAAATACAAACTACGGGATCTCATCAGGAAAGGCAAATTTGTCTTTTTTGTCACCATGTCCCAGCCCCAGAAGGGTGCCACAAATGTAAAAGATGCCTCGTGTTTCCTAAGGGAGCAACCCAGGACCCATGCTAACCCTGCTCAGGTGGACCGAGATATAGCCATTATTCAAACAGAGGCTGACACTTTTCTTTTTTTTAAAGATTTATTTATTCATGAGAGACACAGAGGCAGAGACACAGAGGGAAAAGCAGGCTCCACACGGGAGCCTGATATGGAACTCGATCCCAGGACCCCAGGATCACGCCCTGAGCCAAAGGCAGATGCTCAACCGCTGAGCCACCCAGGTGTCCTGGAGGCTGACACTCTCCACAGCACCAATGGACTATCATGGGATTCTGCATATCTCACGAATAAAGACTTCCTATATATTAACCTGTCTCCAGAAACTATTTACTGCTAAGTAATGCACTAGGCTGACAAGAACACAGAAGACATGTTTTTAAACATCAACTGTTTTCTACTTTAGGAGAGAAAAATTTTTTTCATATTTTAGTTACTATGTTGGGGGAAACCATCCAGGGATCAAGAAGATATGATCTCATGACTATTGCCTCCTCATCACCCATCCTGGAGTTCTCAAAGTCGTTCATTCCAGTTCTTCTCCTGCTGGTGGCAGCATCCTCACAGTTCAGGCAGAGGCCTGTGAATGTGCCTCTCTCCCAGGAAACCGGGTAGAGAGGAGCAAGCTGCTGAGGCCTGCACACATCCGGCCACACATCCGGCCACACACTCAGCAGGCGCCACAGCCCTTTCCTTTCTCCCACTGTGCTGTGTTCTTGAAGAAAAGCCATCTCAATTCTCCAATTACACACTAAAATCAGCTTCACCCCCTAAAACTCCAGGATCTAGGGGGAAAGAAAGAATGGTGTACAAGTAGGCTTCCTCTTTCCACCCCGCTGTGCCCCAGTTAAAGAGAAGATATAGAACATGACCTCTGATGTCACACTGAGCCAGTCTATTAAGAAGGAAGATTTTAGGTCTCAGAATTCAATGTCATAGAATCTGGACTGTAATGACTTTCAGGCAAAAGACTTTATAACTAATTTTCTGTTTCCTGTGGCTCTGATTCATTGTGAAATTCAGCGAAAACAGCGAACCAACCTTAACTACAAAGATATTATTAAGTCCCAGACTAGCAAAGTCCTCCTAAGGCATGCATATGAATCAGAACCTGCTGAGCACCCTGACAAAATAACTGTTTAAAAATCATGACACTAATTCCTGAAGGACACAGTTAAAGACTGTGATTAAAACGGTTAAGAAAATAAACTCAAAAGAAGTTCCTGAGCCCATATCATGTGACGTGGGCACAGAGCGGGACTGCTCCATCGAAACATGAGCAATTCTTGGGGTCCAGGAATCAGTGAGGCATCTGGAGGGCTGGGTACATGGAGAGATCACAGCTGGGACAGGTTAAGCTTGTCCTCAGCCTGAAAGCCTAGGACAGGTCATGCATTCTCAAGAACTGGGGCAGTCTCTGGTGAATGGATCAAACTTCTCAAGATCCATTATTTATTAAAATCCAAGCTTTACTAAGATCTGACTGCTAAACCTGAAAGTACATCCTTCTTTTCTACAAGAAGCAATCCAGGGCAGCCCCCGTGGCGCAGCGGTTTAGCACCGCCTGCAGCCTGGGGTGTGATCCTGGAGACCCGGGATCAAGTCCCACGTCGGGCTCCCTGCATGGAGCCTGCTTCTCCCTCTACCTGTGTCTCTGCCTCTCTCTCTCTCTCTCTCTCTGTGTCTCTATGAATAAATAAATAAAATCTTAAAAAAAAAAAGGAGCAATCCAAATGCCTGCAAGTCTCTATGTGCACAATACATTCATGCAGTCCAGGCAGACAGGTCCCACTCTCAGACCCAATTTCAGATCAGCAGGCTACCCGTGAGCGGAGGATTAGAGAAAGGACTCCCACATACCATGGAGGGAAGCCTTACTCACACCATGGCAGGCTCATACGATCTTCTTTCTCCACACTGAAAAGTTATCACTCATTCAAATTATTTTTTGTGCCCTGACAGCGTTCCAAGTAAGAGGTTAGGATAATGAGCAAGACAGACCAAGGGCCCGTCTTCGTGGAGTTACAGAACAGGATAGGGGTAGCAGCTCTGACTGAGCTCCCCGGGGTGAGCAGACACCAGTCGACAACATGCTGACGTCCTCACCCTTCACTATCTCTGGTTATGACCCATTTCATTCCTCAAGAACCCCCTTTGAACATTCCGTTTCTCCCGAGGAATTCCTCTCTCCAGCCACCAGGTCTGCAGCCTGCAGGAGCCTCTCACCCCTACGGAGGAGGGTTCTGCTCTATGGCTGCTACATGCAAGGCACCACATGAGGTATATTTACCTGGATTCAGGCCACCTGGAGAAGGTGTTCATCCCTGTCTCAAAGTGAAGATACTGAAGAGCAAGAAGCTTAGCACTGCATCCAGGTCAGTGACAGCAAGTGCGGCCACGCGTAAGTCCCCACCTTCTGTACTAGGCCACCTCTTGTCTACAAACTCCACAAGCAGCTAATAGAACCCTCACAGGTGAAGAGGGGGTGGTCAACACTGACACATACCTGATGAGCACAGCGCCTTGGAGGTGGGTTGGGGATCTCTACTTTGGTCCAGGTGTCCTTCTTGATATTGTAAACGTACAGTTCATTATATACAAATGTCTGCAAAAAGGAAGAGGGACTTTATGTCATGAATGACACCTCCACGCAGGTGACAGTAAGTGGGAAGTGGGATCTCAATCACTTGGGAAACAGCTTTCCCCAGGAAACAGGTTTCCTAAAGCCACATATACCCATGCCGGAAGCCTATGGCTGGGCCCCTTGGATCCTTTGAGATAAAAAAAGCTACCTGCCCGCCATACCTATTAGCACCTAAGATACCAAGGCCTTTGCTGCTCGGCAAATCATTGCTCAAAGTCAAGCCTGGTTTTTAAATGCATGAAAACTCAGAGTGGAAGACAAACACGTGAAGTCAAACTCACAGGGATCTTGAGCATGGAAGGAAGGTGAACTCATGCTTTTATAACTGTTTCATACCTAATTCTGAAATAAAAAAGTCTTTCTAGCCTGCTCAAAAATGAAAATTAGCTCTACAATTTATCAGCACTTTCTGACCTGATTCAAAACAACTTTGAAACCCATCATGAGCATGAACAATCAACACAAATGAGCAACATGCTGGTCAATCTCAAGCAAGCATTAAGAGTGACCCTTAAGGTCACTAAAGGATCCTGGTGACTTCTCAAGGACTAAGTGGGATACCAGCCTGAAAGCTCAGGAGGTGGTCCAATGCATATTTGTTATCACTGCTTTAAACTAATTTTACTCAAAATGAGACCCATGGAAATTTGAAGGGAAAAGAAAAAAATATATACTTTACTTTTTGGCCATTGAAATATTCACCTCCGAAAAGGATTAACTCATCTTTCTCAGGATGAGCAGAGAGTGAGGCATGTAACCTACAAGAGACAGAAGCAATTAACACGCAATTTACCACGCAATCCAGCCATGTGATGCCCAGCTGAGAGCTGGCCTCCCTTCCACCAGGGTGCTGTATCACATCCCCAAACTTCTGTGAAAAGGAAACCTGGCACTGGGAACAGAAGCTAAGGCCTCCAACCCTTTAAGTCAACCTCATGGCCAAAATACTAGTCTCTCAAGAGGGCCCTGGATCTGGGTGACTCATACAGTGTTTGGCTAAAAACCATCAGGCAGTGATGTGTCTAGGTGCTCCTAACTTAAATGCCAGATTTCCCAGAGCTGATCTATTTTACAGGTTGATCCACTTAAATCACAATCAAAACTGTTCTAAAAAGACCAGTTCTTAAGCATTTCAATCTGTATCCAGATAGCTTACACCTAAAAAATGCAAATAACGTTCTACTTACACCAAATATAAGAACAAGAGAACTATAAATACGTGTGAATCATCTCTGGAGAAAGTAAGACAGTGAAGGGGGTGGGAGGGTAGGACAAGCAATTGGTGGATTTAAAATCCCCTCAAGCAGCTTTCCCCAGGGAGTATAGGATAAAAGTAATTCCAAAAGATATTTCATAAAGGAAGACAAAGGCTTCAAAGTCAGCGAAGTCTGAGAAATCAGACAACTCTGTTTTTCTCTTGGGCATTTACTGTACACAAAAACATTCTATAGGTTTAGAAAGTTTGCAGGAAAGAAACCAGTGTGATAAAATAGGACTATGCTGGGGCGCCTGGCTGGCTCAGTGGGTTGAGTGCCTGACTCTTGATTGCATCTCAGGTTATGATCTTAAGATTGTGAGACTGAGCCCCATGCTCAGCGGGGAGTCTGTCTGAGATTCTTTCCCCCTCCCCCTACTTACACTCTGTCTACAAAATAAAAATTTTTTTTACTTAAAAAAAAAAAATAGGACTACGCTGTGGAAAACAGTCCACAGTTAAACACAGAATTACCACATAACCCAGCAATTCTGCTCCTAGGTATATGCTGAAGAAATGTGAAAACAGGGACTGGAATAGACACCTGCATGCCAACATTTGTGACAGCATTACTCACACAGGCCCCAAGGTGGAAACAACCCAAGAGTCCATCAACAGATGAATGTGGTGCATCCATACGATGGAATATTATTCAGTCTTAAAAAGGAATGGAGTTCCGATTCATGCTACAACACGGATGAACCGTAAGGACATTACATTAAGTGAAAGAAGCCAGACACAAAAGGACAGCTGCTGTGTGACTCTACTTATATGAAATATCTAAAACAGCCAAATCATGGGGATTCCTGGGTGGCTCATCTGTTTAGTGCCTGCCTTTGGCCCAGGGCATGATCCTGGAGTCCCGGGATCAAGTCCCACATCGGGCTCCCTGCATGGAGCCTGCTTCTCCCTCTGCCTGTGTCTCTGCCTCTCTCTCTCTCTCTGTCTCTCATGAACAAATAAAATATTTAAAAAAAATAAAAATAAAAAGTAAAAAACAAAACAAAAAAAAAAAAAAAACCAGGCAAATAAAAAAACTAGAGAGCAGAGGTCACCAGGGGCCAAGAGGAGGGGAATGGGGAGTGATAGCTCATGAGCCCAAAGCTCCTATGTGGGGTGATTAAAATTTCTGTTAATAAATTGTTACAAAGCACCATGAACGTAAGGAATCCCAGTGAGGGATCCCTGGGTGGCGCAGCGGTTTGGCGCCTGCCTTTGGCCCAGGGCGCGATCCTGGAGACCCGGGATCGAGTCCCATGTCGGGCTCCCGGTGCATGGAGCCTGCTTCTCCCTCTGCCTGTGTCTCTGCCTCTCTCTCTCTCTCTGTGACTATCATAAAAAAAAAAAAAAAAAAAAAAAAAAAAGGAACCCCAGTGAGCTGCACTATTAAAAATGGTTAAAATGGGAAAATCTAAATTAGATATGTTTTACTGGGCAGCTCCAGTGGTTCAGCGGTTTAGCGCCACCTTCAGCCCAGGGGGTGATCCTGGAGATAGGGGATCGAGTCCCAAGTCGGGCTCCCTGCATGGAGCCTGCTTCTCCCTCTGCCTGTGTCTCTGCCTCTCTCTCTGTCTCTGTGTCTCACGAATAAATGGATAAAATCTTTAAAAAAAAAAAGATCTATTTTACTACAATTTTTAAATAAATTTCAAAGGGAAACCAGTTGTTTCCCAAAGTTCTTTAACCCCCAATCTTTTTTTTTTTTTTTTTTAAGATTTATTTAATCATGAGAGACACACAGAGAGAGGTAGACAGGCAGAGAGAGAAGCAGGCTCCATGCAGGGAACCTGATGTGGCAGGTTCGATCCTGGCACTCCGGAATCATGCACTGAGCCGAAGGCAGGCACTCAACCACTGAGCCACCCAGGCGTCCCCCCCTCCAATCTTATTTTCACTTAACACCTATTAAAATTTTCTGTGGGAAAGTAATAAGCACAGCCAGGAAACAGCAATCCAAGTCAGGCCCAGAGCCCCCAGAGTCCCCGCAAGGTCCCCACAGCCCACACCACCTCTATCCCACAAACAGGTGCCCTAAGGCACTGATGCACCTGGGTGTACGGGCCTTACTTCCCCATTAAGTTACATCACAGCCAATACCTGGGGATATGCACACTCACAAAACTCAGTAATTTTCATGGTTTCTCCTATAACATGATGGAGGCGGAGGAGGCGAGAGGTTACTCAGGTTACCAACTGAATGATCTCATCATTTCTCAGCTCCATCAAAACACATTCCCAGCTGACTATGGAAGCACCAGCAATCCTAATTACATCCTAACATTGAACCTGGCTTTGTGAGCACCACTACTTCAGGAAAAGTTTTAAAATGTCACCAAAGGGGGGGGGGGGGTGGAAATCAATCCACATTCAGAATGGCTGCCCTCAGGGGTGCCGTAAGGTACGAAGCCATCACGATTTCAAAGACTTACCTGCTGAAACAACTGCAAGAATAATGTGCATCAAAAAAAAAAAAAAAAGGATCCCTGGGTGGTGTAGTGGTTTGACGCCTGCCTTTGGCCCAGGGCGCGATCCTGGAGACCCTGGATCGAATCCCACATCGGGCTCCTGGTGCATGGAGCCTGCTTCTCCCTCTGCCTATGTCTCTGCCTCTCTCTCTCTCTCTCTCTCTCTCTCTCTCTCTCTCTCTGTGACTATCATTAATTAATTAATTAATTAATTAATTAAAAAAAAAAAAGAATAACGTGCATCTACAGCACGTGTAACTTCTATGTGGCCCCTGTGGTAACATGTCAAGTACCGGGGAAAGTATACCCCATTTCCTGACACTTTTTACGTGAATACAGGGACAACCTGCAACTCCATTCTGCCCAGGGGCCACCTTGTCATGCCCCACTTCTTGACAAGTGAGATTGGGGCATGGGAGCCACAACCAGCCCCCCTTCCTGAAGTGCTAGACCCCAGCCTCCACTCGGGCTGGCAGCAGCTCTAGTAAAGTCAACCTCCTTTATGACAACACTAGTAATTTGTATTCTGAGGGAAAGGAAGCAAATAATTTCTCAACCAAACCAGTCTCATTTGCTTGTGAAGTTAATGCATTTCCCCTTCTCTAAAAACATGGGATCTTTTCTCGGGTCATTTGGCCTTTCCTGTTTCCTAACTCAGTGCATTCAGGGTTTTCCCTCTACCCTGCAGTGGAAAATACAAGAATTACAGGGCCCTAATCAATTGATAACAGAGCTGGAATACAGAAGCTGAGAGAACAGGAATCGACACAGAGGAAAACCAAAGCCTGCTCATTTTGGCTCATCCCACAAGTACCTGAAATCCTACAGAAGACTCTCGAATTCTTTACCTAATTTACAAATTCATTCAAAATGGCTTAACATATTTATGTTTCAAAATCACACTTGTCATTACAAAGAGCAACATGAAACTATGCCTGTGACACACACTTCTGAAATATTTTAAAAACCAAAGAGCTCACTGGGGCAACGTCCTAGTCCAGGAACTGTGATCAGCTAGACAACTTTCGAATGGCACATCCCTGCTGAGCAACTGAGTGGGGCGACTGTGTTTCTCATGAGAAGAGACCTCAAAAGCCTCACTCCCACTCTTCAGAAGAAAAGTGAGTTTGAGGGAGTTTATCTACAATGGGAATGGCTTTTTTTTTAATATTTTTTTTTAAAGATTTTATTTATTTATTCATGAGAGACCGGGGGGGGGGGGGAGCAGAGACACAGACAAAGGGAGAAGCAGGCTCCATGCAGGGGGCCTGATGTGGGACTCCATCCCAGTACTCCAGGATCAGGCTCCAGGCCGAAGGCGGGTGCTAAACCACTGTGCCACCCAAGGATCCCCGGGAATGGGTTTTAATGAGGAAAACATTCCATGTGTCTGTCTACTTAAGAAAAACGGAGCCCATTTAAAGTGGTTTTCCAACATACACAAGAAATTCGTCAAAAGCTAGAACGAAGAGCCCTGGCTCACTTACCTTGGTGAAGGTGGGGGGCATGGTGTTTCCACGATCTGAGTCCTGGTGGCATCTAGCGTCTGGAAATGGGCTATCAGAGCTTCAAGATCTTCCTACAGGCAAACAAAAAGTCACACCTGAGACATGTTCTTAAACCCTCACACACAGTCAAAAACCTGGGTCACCCTTCCCACTCTGTCCGACCTGCCCAGGGTCCAGTCAGATCTGGGGGTGATGACATGTTCCTCCCATTTCAGGGATACAGACTCTGACACTTGCAAAAATATTGAGACTGACCCTATAGGCAGTTTCCTCAGAAGTACACATAGATGCACGCACACTGCCTGGACCATCTCACCCAAATGCTCACAGTGCGCATAAAGAGCCTTCCATTTAGACAAGCCCTCCCTGACTTCCTGGCAGCACCTTCAACCACTTCTCACCAGGCCAGCCCTAGCCACCCCACCACACGTTTTGTTGTCTGCATCACAGTGTCTGAGACTTCCCCTGCTCACGTTTTTATCTTGTTTCCACCTCCCTCCATCAAAATAACAACAGGTGAGTTCCAAGCAAGACCTATCTATTTAGAACTGCGCCACACGGTTAGAGCTCAGCACTTAGGAGCGGCAGCCATTCCGGATAAGAAGGGCTCTATTTTTACAACTGCAGAAACAGATTTAGAACGTGCCAATTAACCTGTCCAGCTGGGCAGCACTGGAACCTGGTCTTCTTCCTCCTCCCAGTCCAGAGCCATAGCCCTGCATCCACTAGTGATCACACACACACACCCCTAGGGATGTGGGGACTGCATCTACTAACGATCTCACACACACACACACACACACACACACACACAGGGATGCGGGACCTGTGCATCACTTCCAACCTTATTTTCCTCTGGAATGCTTACTCTCTTCCCTGTGCTCATGCTGGGATCTGAGATGTGTTCCCACCTCCTTCTTCGCTGCTTCTCCTCTCTCCCCAACCCCAGAGCCCTCACTCCCCAGTTCCACATTTCACAATGGAGGCAGATGTCCTTCCTGCACCTAAGAACACTTCCAGACCATACTGCCTATTTCCCACCCCACCTGCTGACTGCAAGCGGCATGGGCTTCCTCGGTTCCTTTCATCAGAACGCCACATTCCTCAGCCTGAACAGATACCTGCAGCCCGCCACCTCCCATGTGTGAACCTGTGAGCCCCCAGGAAGCAGCCACTGTATTTGGAATGGAGTGCTCCTTACCCTCATGCGTTTCTTCATACTTTTAGTACAGCTAAACATATCTCTAAGTGATACATGTTAGTCATTCACGTTTTTCAATTTCATGTCACCAGGATCATACTGTGCATTCTCTTGCAACTTTTTTGTTCCACAAAAAAATGTCCTTGTGTAGCTGGGAGTTTGTCCAAGGTAAGCCTTCACATGTGTAACCACACTGTGGCAGTTTCCACATTTCCCCAATATGCACCCTCCTGATGACTTTACACCAAACAGCTGACTTTGAGAAGGGGAGAGTATCCTCTGTGGGTATGGCCTAATGCGTTGGTCAGTGATCCGGAGGGTTTGTTTTGAGAACTAATGAAAGCAACAAGCAAAGTCTCAGGCCTGACAGGCCCTTTCCACAGAGCAGCCACTGGCATCTCCTAAGGACCAGGAGCTGCAGAGAGATGGGAACGCGAGTGGAAACCAGCTAACAGTTACTGAGTGCTTACCATGTGCCGAGCACTGCTCTAAAATGCCCCACAAATTAACCCTGCCTCTGTGCCACCACCCCACCCAGGCAACACAGTCACGATCCCTACTTCAGCTGAGGGCCTGGAGAGAGAAGGCGGCGGGGTTACCCGGGAGCTCCGGGACCCCCACCGCTGCAGCTGGTCCCACTGAGGCTCAGGGCGGCAGCGAGGGTCGTCAGCCTCCGTGTAAAGACGCGCAGAGAGCTGGGAGGCGAAGGGCCTCGCTCCACACACCCAGACGCCGAGGCGCGCCGCTGCACCCGGGCCCTCTCGCCTCGCGGCCGAGGGAAGCCCACCGGGACCCGGACCCCAGCTCCGCGCACCGCGAGGCGCCGGCCCCGCTCACCTCCTCCTTCCGCGAGCGCTTGGACACCTTTCTCTCCATCTTGGCGGCCGTCTTCTCCGCCCCGCGGCCCTTCTCCTTTTTGCCCTTCTTGCCCATCGCGCCCGTCCGAGGAAACACCGGGACTCCCAGAGGGGCGCACAGCGCAGAGCGGCGAAGCGGCGCGCCGGAAATACGCGCTCGCGGGGGCCGGGGCCGGAAGCCGGCGCGCGGAAACGCGTCACTTCCGGCCCGCTCGCCGCCCGCGCTTCCGGACCGTGGGATACGGGGTTGGCCGCAGAGCTGGTAGGTTGCTTGCCCCCCGCGCAGGGTTGACCCGGGCGAAGGGTCAGCCCCCCGAGCCCGGGGGCCCCAGGCGGCCCGCTGCGCCCTGGGATTTCGCGGGAGCAGCCTTAGAGCGGGAAGGCCGCGTGTAGGACGTGGGCGGAGTGAACGGCCGTTGTCAGCGTTATTAGGCAGGGTCGCCGGGAAGTGGAGCGGACTGACGACCAGGTCAGGCGGGCCTGTGCGGTCGCCACGGCGCGCTCAGCCTGCAGGCCTGGCCTCGGAGCTGTGACAACGGGTGAAACGGAGCCCCCCCCCCCGACCGAGGGGGCGGTGGGGGGGCTGGCCTGGAGGGTCACTGACCCGGCGAGGCGACCGTCGGGGACCCCAGCGGACAGATGCGCGCGCTGCAAGGAGAAGCCCGCCGCGGGAGGACCCCGGCTGCCCTGGGGCCTCGGCCCGGGCCCACAGCGACCCCACCCCCCACCCCTCCGCCGCCGTGGCCGGGCGAGCCCACGTGTGTGATAGAATGACTTTTATTTATTTTATTTTTTTAAAGGTTTTATTTATTCATGAGACACAGGCAGAGGGAGAAGCAGGCTCCATGCAGGGAGCCCGACGTGGGACTCGATTCCGGGACCCCAGGGTCGCGCCCTGGGCCGAAGGCGAGTGCTCAACCGCTGAGCCACCCGGGGATCCCCAGTAACTTTTATTTTTAAGGTTGACAGATCCAATCAACTGCTCATCCCCCCAAAAGGTATAATACTTCACCCAACTCCAACCCTCGTCCGTAAACCAAGTTATTTAAAAAGAATTATGAAGTATGGGGGAAATTATGGGAAGAGGAGGCTTCAGGCTGCCTCTTTGTCCAGCGCTGCTCGTAGGAGATGAGAAGACCATGTGTGATGATGGGGGAAGTAACCAGTTAGAGGTTTATGAGAGGAGCGACAGGTGCGCCTGGGTGGCTCTGGTGCGGATCCTGGGATCCGGGGGTCGAATCCCGCATTGAGCCTGCTCCTCCCTCTGCCTGTGTCTCTAGTGAATAAATAAAATCTTAAAAAAAAGAAAAGAAGGAAAGCTACAGAATTTTATGCTCAGCAGGCTCCAGAGCCTCCAGATGTGATTATCTCAGTGAGCTACAAAAGGCCAAGTCCTTGATACTGCCCCGCTTTCCATCTAGTGCAACATGATTTTAAGAACGTACCTAATCCTTTTGTACTTTTCTGAGAATATTAGATCACCGTGAGGCAATGCACTTGAAGCCAAATGGCCCTTGAGCCACAGAGCATATTTGGGAAATACATTACAGTGGTCCCCTCTCAAGGCTGAGAACGGGAGAGCACATTCCCTACTAGGACTTAGAAGGGCCTCGTAGGTGCAGGGTTTAATGCTTTTATTATCGGAAAGAGCTTGAGGCTGAGCTGGAAGTCCCTTGGATATGAATCATGGTGATTTACATGATGTTGAAATTCTCATTACCCAGACACAGAGAGGCTAGGACATTTAAAATGAGATCAGAATCCCAAAATAGTTAAAAGATTAACTATATGGTCCTATTTTAGTGAAATCATTTATTTTTATTTTTATTTATTTATGATAGTCACAGAGAGAGAGAGAGAGAGGCAGAGACACAGGCAGAGGGAGAAGCAGGCTCCATGCACCGGGAGCCTGACATGGGATTCCATCCCAGGTCTCCAGGATCGCGCCGTGGGCCAAAGGCAGGTGCCAAACCGCTGCGCCACCCAGGGATCCCCATATTTTTGAAACTTTAATGGATTGTCTTAGATCCATCCTGAACTGTTAGTGTATCTTTTGGGTGGTGAGGCGCCCTCTGCTGTCTTCAAGTTGAAACCCAGAGGAGAAAAAGTACCCATGGAACTCTAACTCATTACCCTCGCCACAAATAATCCGTGTAATTGGAAAATCCTCCCAAGTGTGGTATAGATGTTGTTTACCATCTGGGAAAGGGAGAATATTTAGCCAGCCCACCTACTACACAAAATTCTTGGGAGAATCAAGCAAAATTATGAAAAAACTTTAAAAAGTTTGGCAAAATACAAACTTAAGATGGTTCCGTGTGCTGTGAAGTCATGGTTTTGGGCTGGCTGGCAATCCCCTCATGTCACACATGAAGTGGACACGGCAGCGTGTGACCATTGTGCCAAAACACGAGATACAACACGGAACTCAGCCGCCAGCTTCCAGGAGCTTCGGTTCTAACAAGACAGATAAACATGACGCTCCTCATATGCTTTTTGAATGAAGGGAGGAAGAGGGAAGGAGAGGGAGGGAAATCAAATGATTGTTTCACACATTCGTCCAGTGTTCTGGACATCTGAGGGAAAAGGGAAAATCCAGTTTCATTGCCCCATCAAGGCTGACAGCAAAATTCTTTCTGGAGTGTGCTGTGTAATTTCCAAATATCTGGGGACCTTTCTGTTACCTTTTTCTAATTCCTTGATTTGAGATGTTTAAGGGTTTACCGCTCTCCATCTTTTAAATGCTGTTTCAGGGGCATCTTATGAATTTTAATATGTGTTGTGATTTTTTTCATTCAGCTCAAGATACGTCCTAATTTCCTTTTTGATTTCTTTTATGTCCCCGGGTTTACTTGGAAGTGTATTATTTCGTTTCCAGATATCTGGAGATTTTCCAAAAGCCTTCCTGAAAAGTTTCACTTTTCCTTTAACTGCCTTTTTTTTTTTTTAAAGATGTTATTTATTTATTTATGAGAGACACAGAGAGAGAGAGAGAGAGAGAGAGAGGCAGAGACACAGGCAGAGGAGAAGCAGGCTACCATGCAGGGAGCCTGACGTGGGACTCGATTCCAGATCTCCAGGATCACACCCTGGGCCGAAGGCGACGCTAAACCGCTGGGCCATGGGGCTGCCCCCCTTTAACTGCTTTTATGATTTTATCTTCATTCTTGTTGCCTTCAGCTTTACTAAGATATATTTAGATATTACTTTTTATCCTGCTTGGGTTTGGCAGGCTTCATGAAGCTGGAGACGGCTCTACCATTTTCTCTTCAGAGGATGCTGTTCTTTCCTCTTCTGGAGCTCCAGTTAAATACATGACATCTTTTCTCTCGGTCTCTGTTTCAGGCCTCTTAACTAATCTCCATTTTCCATGTGTTTGTCGCTGCATTCTGGATAATTCTTTCTGATTTATTTACTAGTTCATGGGTCCTTCGCTCAACTCCATCATATCTGTCTTTTTGGCAGCCCGGACAAAGCAAATTTAGGCTAAAAATCCGAGGAAGGGCTGGGATGTGGTTACAGTACCCCAGATCTTTCCTTCCCACCCTGCTCAGCACCGAGATGGTGTTCTTATGCCCCCCCAAGTACTGGGGGGCAGGGTTTCTTCTCCGTGCTCACCTGCAGGCACAGCTCATAGGACCTTAGCTTAATCTGAAGTCCTCTTAATCCTCTTAGATCCCACCTGGGCAGCCTTGGCCTTTATAAATGTTTTCCTTGCCCTTTGAGGCTGTCAAAACCAAAGTCAAGCATGGCAACACATGCTCATGCCTGGAAACAAAAGCCATTTGCAGTACCTAGTTTCAACCCAATATTTTTGCTTCTCCTTTCTGTTGGGTTCTGATGTGGTGATGCTTTACTCCTCAGTTTCTAAATGCCTTTAAGAAGCTCACTTCAACATTTATCCAGCATTTTTAGTTGCTTTGAATGGGAGGATTGGCCCACATAACCCAGTCTGCCGTGTTACAGCCTTACTTCCATTTTTTAAAAAATGATATCTTTCACTATGTAATTAGCACATACTAATTTTTAAAATTTGGAAAATAGAGACAAGTCTGAGAAGGAAACCTCAAAGTCACCCACAGGCTTCCCTTCCACTCAGCATTTGTGAGACTTGCCCGCTGACTAATGATCTGAGCTGTCTTTCCTTCACCTGCTCCCATGTTTCAGGACCTTCTTCACCCTTCTCTCTCCCTGTCTTCTTTTTCACTGGGTCCCAGAGTATCACACGAAGATCAAGGACAGTTTGTGAGTTGTTAGATGCAAAAACTGGGGAGAAGGAAATCCCAAAATCTGGACAATAGCACAGAAGATGGAACAGACATGAACTGTGCAGGATACGGTCATCACAGGCATGAGAGCAACCATTAACATCACGTGGACAGTAGTGAGTTGGTGAGCAAGTTGCAGTAAAGCCATGGCCTGTGCATGCTACCCATGTGAGCCTGCAAGTTCATGCCCGTTTTGTGGTGACTGTCGCATCAACATTCCCAACACAGCCCAGAGGCAGCTTTTCTGTATGCAGCACTCAGAGGCACTAGATGGGGAGAAAATGCAGTAGAAGGAACAGTGCAAATCAGTCCCTAAGGCTAAATCTGTTTTTAAAAAGGTAAGCTCCTTTGCCAGGTTGTTAGAGACGTTGATGATTCTTGAAGTAACCTGTTTTTTAAAAATCCCCGTAATATCACTGTTTTGAGTGTCTGGCTCTTGAATCCCCAGAACTAGGTCTGTTTCCAAGCTCCATCTCCTCATCATGAACATACACTGAGGGCTATCCATGATATTCCCTTAAATTTCAGCCGCCTGGCTAGGAAGTTAAATTGCACCCACTAAAACCTCCTTGCTCTCAAGAAGGGCTTCTCTGTCACTTCATCCTTGGGGCTCTGATCTCAGCCCATCTGGTGGAGGCAGGTGTTAACCCTTTACAGAAGCACAGTTGTGAAACCTCCATTCTGGGAACAGAGCTCACCACATCCTCCTCTCCTTGGCCACACTAATGAATGATGCAATTCATATAAAAGATGACCAATTGAACAAAGAACTTCTCCATTAGACTCTTGAGAGCTGGGGATCCCTGGGTGGCACAGCGGTTTGGCGCCTGCCTTTGGCCCAGGGCGCGACCCTGCAGACCTGGGATC